TGAAAGTTAAAAGATGACTTGAGACTCTGCCATATAAGCTTACAGAAAACACATATATAAAGTAAAAGTGAATTCCTCAGTTTGAGATGTTTTTGAAGGAATTATGCGATTTTTCGTATACATTTCTAGTACTTCTGAAGACTATTTACAAATCAACCCCTGAAAATGGCGAATCTGTTCCTTCAAATCAATAAACATTTATTTTGTTTTCGATGTAAATGTCAGTGGTGTATTTTACAGATCTATTGGTATGTGAGACTAACTGATTGACGAGCCAAATTCCAATAATTTACAAGCAATTTTCTCCGATTGATGATAAACCACTAAAAATATTTCTTAACGGTTTATCTGATTTTAAAAAAGAATACATCAATCTTAGATGATAACATTAACATTTAGAAAGATAAGCTACCATATCTCAGGTAACATTTGCTGGTCGGCAAATTGCCACCACCACCTTTCTTACTGGATGTGTTGTGCGTAAGTGAGATCTTAGTATGATGGCAATTGCCAAATTTGTTGGCTGGAGGCCATACACAGAAGAAAGATTGAGGCTATGATGCAATGAGTGTGTATATGATAGGTAAAAGGCCTACAGGTATATGAAACAGTAGGTAGTTTGTTAGGAGATCTCTATGAAGATCATTTAGTATGATAAGTTTCAACTAGTAATGTACTGTATTATATACTGTGTTGTATAACAATAGTGATTTTAAACAATACCAGTTAATAAAGTATGGAGAAGATAAGCTGATATTAATATTTAGTGTAAGGACTATAGTAACTACTATATAGTCCTACCACCAATTCTTACAGCAGGATTATTTTCTTTAGTTATAAACACTTGTATTCATAACCAGTCAGTGTTCTCACTGTTTATATATATACAGACATGCCTAAGGATCCTTTACTGGTAAGAAAAGTGCTTATGAATTTTAAGTTAAACTATTAATGGGTAGGGTTGCATTTATATAATTTATGAATTTCGCCCACCCACACATTTGTTTATTACTTTGGATTTATATGGGACAGCTATAGAGGGAGTTTTAACTCTACTGGCTTAATGTGTGTTTTGGACCTATGTATCAAAATGCTTCATAAAAACTTATTTTCCACATGAATAAATTTTAATGAATTCTGAATAAATTATGAATAATTTGGGCTAATTCAATAATATTTAAGTTCCTATATTATTAACTATCTCATAGTGTACTGCAACTTAGAGGATCTTGTACTTTGGTGATAATGAGACCACTTGGGAACTTATTACAATATATATGGTACTTACTGATAATCATTCCCTGCCTAGGAGATCAAGATTTTAATGTCATGATGTTTTAATGATAAGCTTTAATATTTATGAATTTACTGGTCTCTGATTATGAAATTGTTTGTTAATTAAAATTCTTCTATAATGACTTTTTTGTCCATCTTGAAGTCATTGGTTTTGTCAGTTAGTGGACTTTGACACAGGTCTATTTAGATTGGCATAACCTTTTTTTCTTTTATGATTTCATATTATAAGTCCCTCTGCAAAATTTATGGAAAAAATGCTTTGCTTGTGACTAGTGGTGTCCTTGTCATTGCAAGATACCCCTCATTGCGTACTGCATAGAGTGGTCTAGTAAGATTGGAAATGGTAGCCTAAATTTTATTAAAAAGTTAAAGAGTTAACTGCATGACTATAATTTGAAACATCAAAAAGCATTGTTAACTGCCTGTCATTTAACTCTGTAAGATTAAATGTATTCTGCCAACCAGCCTTTTAACAATTAGTGGTTTTCATGATAAAAGCCTTTAAGTTGGTCTACAATGTTATTATTGTGGAGACAAACATTCTAGGCATATTTTATACATTGTTTCATTATTGTTAAAGTTATTGTATTTTCATAACAATCATCAAAAGACTTAAAAGCTTAAAGAAGCTAAGCCTGATTTAATGATCTGGTAAGCTTAATTTGGGTCAAGACTTCATTATCAAAAGGAGCATCTAAGATTACCTCTATATCCATCTTTCTTTACCTTGTACATTTGAGTAAGAAGAATGTTCACAGTTTCACATATATTTGGAAACAAGTTCTGTGTTGTTTATTAAGCTGTTCCTGATTAGAATAGAAATTCTTATGAAGAAGTTGTTATTTTGATGAAAATCAACTAAAAACATCTTAAATCATGAACTACTAAATGAAATAGTTGATAAGCTTACTGTTGATTAGTTATTGTCTTTCAAAAACATAGCCATTGCAATCCATAAATTAAGAAATATAGTCAGCTATTTAAAGAGAGCTTCCCCTTATTTTTTGAAGTCCATGTTGCCGAATCATTGTCCAAGCTTAATTCGCCTTTGACATAGTAACATTGTAATTGGTGCTTCCAATTGTCTGATTCACATTTTATAATTGTATGAATAGTCTATGTTGTATTCAATAAGATAAATTGTGGTTGCATATTCTATTCAAGAGCATAAAATAATTATAATATTCTGTCTGGGCTTTTGCTCTAGATTGAAATGTGCCATTTGAATGTCAGTGCCATGTCTTGTAAGCAACACTTGGCTTCAATGAATTCTTCTGCAACTCCTGACCAGTGCCATTCTTCTTTCGGATAGTTAATACTGGTACCTTATTTATTTTTTTGGTAGATGATGTTAATTTGTATCCTATTAGTTTTTTGGCTGTGCTTTATTATGTCTTTTGTTTTTGTAAGAACATTGGCATAGAGATTCTTTGTTCAAGCAGTTCTGGGGAATAGTGGCTATTGCAGTCAAGGTATAAGACTGAATTTTGTAATAGCTTGACGTCATGAAAATGCAAGGGAAAATAAGAAAGCTAATTTCATTGTCACTAATAACCTGCACGGTGTGGGAGTCGTCTTTTTCTGCATTTTTTGGTCTGATGCCAATGTTGTTTAGAGTGTTGACTATATTTATAACTTGTATTATTATGAAAGTGGTTATGAAAGAATTAGGTTAATGTAATCATAGACAATATATATCAACCTGTTATGATATGATATGCCAAGTTGATATTCGTATTGCTGGAACCTTCGCTAGGTACATAGTTGTCATTAGATAGTGAACAGTTTGTTGTCTTAGTTCATGGGTACTTTGGGAACCTGTATATGATGTTTAACTTGAGATGTGTTGTTTAAGTTTGTTTGTATTGATTTAGTTTTTGTAGGGACACAAGACACATACATTGGTTTTGGCAGGGACTTTGTGATATCTAGATCCTCTTAACACAATAAGCTTCACTTTAGTTTGCATGGCTCTTGAAAACATTCAGCGAGTAGACCTTCATATATATATATTGAAGATTTTTAATCTTATGAACTTGATGTAAAAATTTGGTGTTGGCAGACAATTTGTGACAGTACCTCTTCAAAATTAGCTCCACTTTAGTTCTGATCGTTTTGTGATTTTAGCCAGGCTGTTGATAAGATTCAGCAAGAACATCTTCATAATAATGGGCATATGTAAAGATTTGGGTTTGGAAGTGGATTGGTGATAGATCCTCTTGACACAATTAGCTCCACTTTAGTTCTGATCGTTTTGTGATTTTAGCCAGGCTGTTGATAAGATTCAGCAAGAACATCTTCATAATAATGGGCATATGTAAAGATTTGGGTTTGGAAGTGGATTGGTGATAGATCCTCTTGACACAATTAGCTCCACTTTGGTTCTGATCGTTTTGTGATTTTAGCCAGGCTGTTGATAAAATTCAGCAAGAACATCTTCATAATAATGGGCATATGTAAAGATTTGGGTTTGGAAGTGGATTGGTGATAGATCCTCTTGACACAATTAGCTCCACTTTAGTTCTGATCGTTTTGTGATTTTAGCCAGGCTGTTGATAAGATTCAGCAAGAACATCTTCATAATAATGGGCATATGTAAAGATTTGGGTTTGGAAGTGGATTGGTGATAGATCCTCTTGACACAATTTGCTCCACTTTAGTTCTGATCGTTTTGTGATTTCAGCAAGGCTGTTGATAAGATTCAGCAAGAACATCTTCATAATAATGGGCATATGTAAAGATTTGGGTTTGGAAGTGGATTGGTGATAGATCCTCTTGACACAATTAGCTCCACTTTGGTTCTGATCGTTTTGTGATTTTAGCCAGGCTGTTGATAAGATTCAGCAAGAACATCTTCATAATAATGGGCATATGTAAAGATTTGGGTTTGGAAGTGGATTGGTGATAGATCCTCTTGACACAATTAGCTCCACTTTAGTTCTGATCGTTTTGTGATTTTAGCCAGGCTGTTGATAAGATTCAGCAAGAACATCTTCATAATAATGGGCATATGTAAAGATTTGGGTTTGGAAGTGGATTGGTGATAGATCCTCTTGACACAATTAGCTCCACTTTGGTTCTGATCGTTTTGTGATTTTAGCCAGGCTGTTGATAAGATTCAGCAAGAACATCTTCATAATAATGGGCATATGTAAAGATTTGGGTTTGGAAGTGGATTGGTGATAGATCCTCTTGACACAATTAGCTCCACTTTAGTTCTGATCGTTTTGTGATTTTAGCAAGGCTGTTGATAAGATTCAACAAGAAGATCTTATTAACTGAATCCTATATAAAAGCTTAAAGTTTATTTTGTTTCTTTTTTTCAGGGTTCAGGATATCTGGACTATAATCAATCAATGACTCTGTGGTCCACAAATATGGAATTAGAAACTGGAATCAAATGTGAACCCAACAGTCCATTAGGACTTAGTCGGTGTTCCCAACATTCATTAGATGACAATTTTGATCGTGATGTGTTTGGGGATTATGCTGCTCACGATGATTACGGATCAGACCGTTCGTACCAAGGGGATAGCGGTGATAGTGGCAATATATCGCCGTGCAGTGTCGATAATAAAATGGACTTTTGTGTATCCAGTGCATTGGTATCCGAGACTGATCTACTGGATGGGACTAAACGTGTGTGTTTAGTATGTGGAGATATAGCATCAGGATATCATTATGGTGTATCATCTTGTGAAGCTTGTAAAGCCTTCTTCAAAAGAACTATACAAGGTAAGTGTGGACATTCTGGTTTTCTTTGAGCATTGTTCAAATAGATTGCAGAGAAAAATGCTGAAATAACATGCTTGATCCAAAGATTCATGATAGGAAAGCATAGGATTTGAGTCATTATTGGTTGGTTTGTGGATGCTTAGCCATCAGTAGAAGCTGAAGTTGTAAGAGAAGTTTTTCAAATTGGTAAGCTTACATATTTTAGGGACATCATGATATAATCCCAATAAATTTGCAAATAAAAAGAATATGGAGAGCATTTTGGCGTTTTGTCATAATGTTATCAATTTGATAATACGAATACATGTCTTGGCATTGATAAATGCTAAGAAAATGAAGAAAATTACAAGGTAACTAAATAACAGTGATATGGTATATTTTAACAATTTTTCCATTTTATACCCTCTCCTATCATCTTCACTTTTATATCACAAGTCATTGAAAGAGAGCTATTGGTACTCTTAAAGATGGGTTCCCTTATTTTCATAAAATGAAAGAGCTAATACTTGAGCTACTGGTTCTGAAATACCAGTTTGTCTCACATCCATAATTAATAAACTAAAATAGAGGAGAATTACCAGCAGAATTCTAATGTCTGACTGATCGAGAAAGGTCAAAAAGTCTTTTTTGTTTATCCAGACTGTACATACATGGACATTTATGATTGGTTAAAACTCTTAATTATATGCAATAAGAACATGATATGATTAAGAATGTATACATGATAATTCATTAGAGACACCAATTAATCAGATAGTTTGCTTAATTTGACACTGAAAAATAAGGAAACCCATCTTTAACATAATGAGATCGGTTAGCACTTTACTGAAATTGCACTTTGTTTAAATGTCATCTTCTTTTCACAGTAAAATTCCAAAAATATTTTTAAGTAGATACCATTTCATGAAAAAATATGATTGCACCAAATATGGTATGCAGTGTAGGGTAATTGCTTAAAGATTGAACAAGTATTTTGCAGGAATTCTGCGTGATAGTGCTATAAAGGTCGATATCCTAATAGAAAGGTAGAATTGTTGCCCTTTAACCTTTCTAGCTATGTATTGAACATATGTTCTGGTGTACAAGTTAATCGTATCAGATGATAGTCTTGTAGTATATTTGGCACCAAATCTGTGTTTACTGGCTATAGAATGTTATTAACTTCTCTAGAATTGTTTTATCTGTCTTTTTCGTGATTGATTAGGCAATTTTAATGACTTGCCTTATTCAATATTGCCTAATTGTGTATCGTAAGCGAAAAAATTGACTAACATTTTCCAATTCAAAATTGAAATTTGATTACCGTAGTCATCGAGGTAGACACAAAATGAGAACAATCGCCATCCTGGATTTGCCATTCTGATGGTCCTAAATTAAAACCAATATGGTAAAAGGTTCACAAACACCGGGAAAGCCATGGCTACCGGGAAAGCCATGGCTTGGCGTACCTCTATCATCTTAGAGTAGCTGGCCTATTTCACAAAGTTACTTTTCAGAGTATAACTTAGACTTTCAGATTGTCTACAATTACATTATTCATACAAGCAAAGCAATGAAAGTAATGGCAATCTTATAGGTAGCAGACGTCATGATTGCTCTCTGTTGGGAATCCACGCAATAGCTATTTGTGTGCAGACTTACGGAGTTTGATTTGGAAAAGAACTGAACTGAAGTTTTCTCCTTGTGATTCTTTGGATGGACCAACAAAATTTTGATGGCCTTGGTCAAAGTGATCATTGATATAACAATATCTTTGGAAAAGTGTGTTTCTGACAGGAAACCCAGAGCAATTACTGATATATCAGTATATATACCATAAAATATTCCCAGAAGATTTCTACAGAGACGGCCTTGGGTGATCAGGGATATGAAATATGTTTCAAATCATCAAGATTTTGAAAATATTTGGTAATGTTTATGAATGTTTAAGAACTAATTTTCTTTTGACACCTGGTATTTTTTATGATATAAACCATGACGTGAAGATTTTTCAACTCCTTGATTTTATTAAAATTCTTAACATTTCATTGTGAATTGAATTATATAGATCTAGCTAGTAAATCTTTCATGATTACTGAAAACATCTTCTCATAACTCAACAAATTCATCATTGATTTTGATTAAAGAACCTTAAGGAAGGGTCAGTTTGACTTTTCCTGGTCGAATCTAATAACAATTGGAGTTTTACCCACTACTGGCAACTGGCAGCTTCTTGGAGAATCTAATTAGCAAAATGAATTGGATTTTTACCCACAACTGGCAAATTGGTAGCAACTTGAAGAATATAATAGCAATTGGATTTTTATCCACTACTGGCACATGGCAGTGCTTTTGGAATTGTTTTCTGGTTTCTGGCTTAACTAATTTCAAGTCGCCAATCTGACATCTTAACTTAGAACATTGATTGGCAAGAAAATCTGAAAGGTGAAGAAAAGGTGAAAATGTTTTAAAAAATTTCAAAAAGCAGAAGGGAACACGAAGAAAATCTGAAAAATTTGAAAAAACGTCTCAAAATCTTTGCAGGAGATGTTTAGATTGAACAAAACTGTGGTTGTTAAACCATAACATAGGGATGTGAAGTAGTTTTTTTAACTGTCGGATATTTTACAAGTTAAAACACTTCTTTATTTTATCTCTCACTTCTGCATGTAATTGAACCTCTTCATGGCTAATTTGTCACGTAGCTGAGTAGTGTTTTAAGTAGGGGATACATTAGCCTGGTAAACATCCGTTGCCATAAAGCCCTGGTCCTGTTGAAATACAGACCAGTGGTAGGAGGTTTATGTTGGTATCAAAGGAGAAAACCTGTGTAAATTGTTTAACTCTTGCATTAAATAATCAGATTAAAATTTTAAAGTAGACTAAATTTAAACGAGGTTATATTGTTTTAAAAACTTTTTTTTTTCAGTACACATGACCTGAATTTATGTTTAATGTTTTAATTTTGTCTATGTGGCAATTTTAAATATGGGTCATTTATGAACCAAATCTCTATTGTAAAGCGAAACTTATCCAAGGTAGATTCTAAAGAGTCCATGTTATTATCCTTGTAAAATTGGGTTTGCTTCTTTCTTTATTGATTTAAGTAAGAGGGGCTGACATGGAAAAAGCGTCTAGTCGTTCGAATGGGACAATAAACCGAGGCCCTGTGTGCTACAGGCTGTGCACGTTAAAGATTCCTCAACAGTTGGAAATTGAGAAAGAGCAAGCTAATGCTGCTGTCCTGGCAAAATTTCCCTTATTGCACCCTGCATAGCATTGCCCGTCTTCATTAGCCAACATGGTGTAGAAAAGTAGGACGTAAAACTCCATTCATTTCATTTTATTGATTTAAGATTAATTTATAATGTCTTTATAACTTAATAGACAAATATTTGGAGTCAAGACATGTTTCAGATATAGATCCCTATCAGGACTAAGAGATAAAGTTGTAATCCTTTATTGACTTAGATATGATCAAAGTTTAGCAGACTCACTGAACAAGAGTGAAATGTCATTGATCATATGGTAATTTGTTTAGGGAATAATTGTCTAAAAAGGAATTTACTAATAAAGAAAAATGAATACCTAGTAACTAATTAAAGAGATATGGGTAGGATTATATTTGGTAACAAAGGATTAAGCTCAGCTCTTTTATTCCCTTCCTTTCAATAATCCTGCCAGTGGCTAATCTCTATATAATGCTTAATCCTGGTTCAAGGCTATGGTCTAATTAATACTTTGTTAGGGACAGTTGTTTATATTATAACAATATTATAAACCTTAGGTCAATGAAAGATATTCCACATTGAATAACACAATTAAAGTTGGGCTGTGTTACACTGCCTGATCATTCACAACAACCAAACAAACTGTCCAAAACCATCCACTTGGTTCCAATCTAACTACTAACAACTATATATATAGTCTGAGATACCAACTTCTGCTGGAGGTGTATGTAAACTGGTCATCTACCAATCAACGAAAATATTCCAGTGCATATCTGGAGAAAATGCTAAAAGCAGTCCACTTTTAGTTATTAGGAACACAATTTGGTTTTGAATTCTAATAATTCTACCTGAAAACAAAATGGATTATTCTTTTTGTTTAGGTTGACTTCAATTGTCCCTGAATGTGTATTTTTCTTTTCGAGAGTCTGTAAGATTATGGCTACCCTATAATATTGTTGTCGATGTGTGAGTTCCGAAAAAAATATTTGTTAGTGAGGCACTTATATGCACTATACATGCTTTCACAGCAATGAGTGGCCCTGAACCTTTCATATAGACCAAATACAAACCATCTTACATTGTTAGTAAAACATTGTTATGTGACAAGAATGCTCTGCCAAATAGTCAAATAGCTTCACATAGCACAAAATACATTGTATACACTTACTTATAAAGTCATTGAACCCCTTCAATAACATTTTTTCACACAATAGCTTCAAGGTAGGCCTTGGTTGTTGGTGGCTACTCAAGCGTTTAGTGGAATCATGCTATAAGAATTGAAGTGATTGATCGATTGATTAGATTGACATGATATCTTTAATCTGCTTATTATATGATATCAATATTCCCACTCTAGTATTCATGATCAAACTAATTTCCATATGGCCAGGTTTTGGCGGGAAAATAAAGAAAACAACAGGACAATATAGAATACACCGGGGGTGTCTCATAAACACAACGCTGTGGTCTTTTGATAATATACTCCTGAATGTGCCTTAACAAGATTTGACACACGACACATTTTTGAAATGTATAGTGCATATTATGTATCAAAGGTATTATCAATAAATTAAGCATTTTACCCAAAATGGCTTGTAATTTTTCATCTTTAAAAAAAAAATGTCTGAAGATTTGACATGGTGTGTATCTAATATCCATTTTTTGTCCCAAATGTTTATAGCTTATTGTTAAAAGCTTGTTGACAAAGAAAAAAATTGAAAAAATTTCCTGCATTGCACAATGATTTTCACTCTACCATTTTGTTGTGTACTCTTGACTCTTTTTAATCAT